CTGACTGAGGGGAGCCAGGCGGACGGACGCGCTGGGCGCACGCATCTCCTTACAATCACACCACACAGTCACACAGCGCGGCTGCTGGGAGCGGCGCTCCAGGTCTGCCCTTATCATCGGAAGTGAGTGGTGTGGTGACGGCATGCCGGACGACCAAACAGCGGAGCCCAGTGGAGCCGAGGCCGCGAGGGGGGTGCAGACGACATGGAACTGCCCTTCGAGCAGGCAGGGGAGGGGCGGAAGGGGGAGGGGAGTACAACAAAAGCTCCCCGACATGCCGCATCGCGAACCAGTCAGGAACCAGTCCGTCGAGAAGTGGCGGACCCGCGAATAACAAGCCCGGCCCATGCGTACGCACACGGCACACGGCCACGGCCCTAGGCGAGAGCGAGAGGGCGCGGTGGGCTTCGGCCGCACTGGCATTCCGCACGCACGGAAACGGAAGTCAGCTGCGCTCGTCCGAGCGGCTCATCTCGCACCGCGATGCACCGCGAAAAAAAATAAAGGCTGCTGCACGCGCAATCAGCCGACCGGCAAATGGCGGGGGAAACGCCCCTGTTGTGTGAGTACACACTCGGTTCTACAAACTTTGTACGCCGCACCCCACGCCACCGAGTGGCTGTCGAGCGCAAGGCGGGCGGGATAGGCTTCCTGCCTGTAAGGGACAACTGACATGAACAGAACACCCACAAACGAAACTGGCAGAAATGTTAGTGAATGGACGTCGTCGAGCGCGTTCCTCCTCCAGGACTCACTTGATCAAATTTCTTTCTACCTCGAGGCTTAGTTACTTTAGGTCGGGTCTTCCCTCCACGGGACGCCAAGACGACATGGTCGCGGTCGTCGGTGCAAACTCCAGCGTGCGGCGCAGACAAACCAGATCGGGTAACACACCCCCTCCCTTTCCCACCCACAACGACCTCCTCTGGACACCATGACTCACTCTCTTATATCACAAGCGCTGCCACTTCAAACAAACACGGTCTGGTCGCATCGGCACGAAACACAAGCAACA